GATGTTGAGGCTCTCCAGACGCTCTTTGCGTTCCTCAATCGTTTGACGGCGAGCAAGGATGCGCTGATGCTCTTTGCGGGCATTCTTCAGGTAGGATGTGATGGCCTGCTGACTCTGTTCCTCATGTTCTTGCTGTGGGCATAGTTAGAGCTGATGATGATACTGAAATATAACACTGACCAGCAGAGAGATAATTGATTAAACTTAGCAGTGGTCTTACCAGTATGGATGCAGGTTTGATGACCTGGATGGCTTTAGCCAAGGAGGATGACATGGCAGTGAGTTGATTCCGTATCTGTTCAGAGGGCATGTTCTGTAGGAACGGACCTACTGGAGAATCCTCTTTGGTAGAATAGTTCAGATCGGAGCCAAAACTCAGTGTACGAGAAGTATGATCAATGCGTACCTTTTGGTAAATACACAAACTTTAAGTCACAACAATATTTTGGACAATTTGGAGATTCTGCTTGACCATGTAATTAACTACTAAGATGCTTGATTTAGGGGGCTTTCACAATGGCAATTTAGTTCGAAACAGGGCACGGTTCCCATGAAAAATCGCTAATGTAAAAGCTGTCAGGTGAACCCGGGTGCGCACCGGGATACCGAACCCGAGACTACCTGAAGGAGACGGTCTGAGTTCGGTTGCACTCGAACTGTGGCGTGGTTCGCGTGAATATGAAAACATCACGGACTCGGGTGCGCACTTGTTCAGGAAGTAAAGTAACTTGCGCATGCGATTTTGCAGATTACAATGTATTTTCTTAAATAAAACACATAGGTGATGATAGTGTTGCTGATTTACCTTGGATTCTAGCGAGAGTGAGCCTGAGTGTATTCGATGTAGCAAGTGCAATCAGAGCGGCAAATGAATGGTAATCCACTGTCTCCTCAAAATAGCCGTCTACATGCACCTCACATACAGTAAACCCATGTTGTTTACTCTGCTGTGCATAATAGCACCAAATTAATAAAAAACACAATATATTGACCAACGTTCGGTTTTCTATCATGCGTTGTGCACGTTTGTGATGACGTAAGATAATGCAAACACACCAGAGTTCGATAGAATCAAGTTTAGTGTGAAACCAGACCAACATGGCGGGGGGCACCAGGAACAATAGTGCCCGGGCTCAAACCGCAGCAAACGTGCCCAGTGTAAAAGCCCCCTTAGAGACTACGTGTGGAAGATATACACTAACATTTGATGACTAATTTTTTATTTTGCTATACCTGTAGGTCACAGTGCCGTGCTGCATCTACAATT